CCCAGCTTGAGTTAAAGCCACTGGGTCCGGGACTTGAACCACGGTCGACTACATGGGAGTACAGCGACATAGCCATTACACTAACTGCTGGTCCCTCATGACAATATTTTTGCATCAAATTCCCTTTTTGTTTAATAGCAGCATGAAATTAGACTGTATGCAGGCATTATTACTTTTTAACTCAGTCCATAGTGAAGTACACTTTTGGTGGCTAGTGTTTACAATATTAAAGCAATGCAGCAACAGACATCTGTGTTTATAATTCTCAAAAACAGTACAAGAAAAATGTCCTGATTAACCCATAACTTCATTATGTGTTATTAATTCATGCTTATCACTCATGTATTCTGTATGTATGTATATCTATGACTACCAATTCATATCCTTTATTCCTTTTACTAATTAGTTCCTTGTCTTTTTTTTTTTTTAATCATGTATAAGCATTCTTTGTCATACATGTTAAAGGCTTTTTTGGTCCAGTTTAACTTTTGACTTTGCTATGGTCTTTTCTTGCCATATAAATTCTAAAAATTATATGTAAATTTAACTTTTTTCCTTACGGCTTCTGGATGAAATGTTTCTGCTCTTTGAAATTATAAAACATTTAATTTTTTTGAAGTTTAATATTTTTATGTACATGTAAGTTACCTTAAAGATCTAGTTATTTCCTCTATATGACAAGCTGTCTCAATCCCATTTATTGAATAAGTAATTATTTGTATTAATTGGAAATGCTAACTTGATTATATATTAGAGAACCAAATATACTGTGTTTAGTTTCTGTAATCTACTAATTGTAGGGTCTGGCAACATAGCAGTAATGCAACACTGTGTAATGCTGGACCCATGGGGGAAGGTCCCGAGTGCATGGTTAGAGGACTCCCTGTGCACACACAGTGTCTCCCTACCGATGCTATGTGTGTGTATGTGCGTGTGACACTGTCCCTGGCTGGCCAAGGCTAGGGGGAGATCCTAGCATGAGGACCTTGTCTGTCTTTCTCTTGCTTCCTTTCTTTCTCATGAAAGAAATATTTTTAAAAAACTAAAGTAAAATAGGATAACTGTAGATTTCTATGCCAACACTAAAAAATTATACCACAATTTCACATAAGCTAAGACTCCCTTGTAGGATTACCTTACAGAGCATTTCATTTTACCACTGAACTAACATCTGGCCCTTACAATTATTTATCCATTATGTGGACATCTAAAGGTTTCTATGCAGAAATAGTATTGTCCAGTTATGCAATGTTGTCCCAGACCAATTAAGAGTGAATACAAGGACCAGCAGTTAGCGTAATGGCTATGTCGCTGGACTCCTACGTAGTCGACCACAGTTCACATCCCAGACCCGGTGGCTTAAAACTCACGCCGGGTGTGTGTGCGTGCGTGCCCAAGATCCCAAGGGGAGAATGGAGGCGAAGGGATTGCGGCGTGCCCCACCCCCCCAACCCCTCGCGGGGGTGATTTTTCACTTTCTGTCTCTGTCTGTCTGGCAAGTGCACGCGCCCTATAGTAAAAATCTCTTAAAAAAAAAAAAAAAAAAAAGGAAAAAAAAAGTTTAAACGCCTGTACTCTCTAATCTGGCCATTTCACTTTCTAGGAATTGATTCTACAGGTAAAAGTCACATACACATATAAAATAATTTGTTCAAAGATGCTATACTACTATTTATGACAATTAAAAGTTAGAAGTAACGGGACCAACAGTTAGTGTAATGGCTATGTCGCTGGACTCCTACGTAGTCAACTGCGGTTCAAATCCTGGGCCCGGTGGCTTAAACTCACACCGGGCGCGTGTGCGTGCGTGCCCAAAATCCTGAGAGGAGAGTGGAGGAGAGAGGGATTGTGGCATGGCCATCCCCCCTGGGGGGTGGTTTCTCGCTTTCTGTCTCTGTCTCTCTGTCTGGTGAGCGCACACGCCCTATAGCAAAAAACCTCTCCAAAAAAAAAAAAAGTTAGAAGTATCCTAAATGTTCAATAGTATAAGAATAAATTATGGGGACCAGCAGTTAGTGTAATGGCTATGTTGCTGGACTCCCATGTAGTTGACCGTGGTTCGAGTCCCGGACCCGGTGGCTTAAAATTCACGCCAGGTGTGTGTGCATGCGTGCCCAAAATCCCAAGAGGAGAAAGGAGAAGGGACTGTGGCATGGCCATCCCCCTGGGGGGTGATTTCTCACTTTCTGTCTCTGTCTGTCTGGTGAGAGCACGCGCCCTATAGCAAAAACCTCTAAAAAAAAAAAAAAAGAAAGAATAAATTATGATATATACTACTTAAAAATGATGAGACAGAGGATTAACAGTTGTTGTGATGCTGGATCCATAATGAAAATCTAGATTTGATTCTTGGGTTGATGTGTACATACTGGGCATATATTTGCATGTCCACACCTTGGCAGGCTGGGAAGGCTAGGGAAAGGATTGTGGCGTCTGACCTTGTTGAGAGTGCTTGTCTTTCTCTCTTTCTCTTTCTCTCTCTCTCTCTCTCCCTCCTTCTCTCTGTCTTATGAAAATAATAACTTTTAAAAGAAAATGAGGTGGGCCCGTGTCATGACTGGTTAAGGGAGCTAGATTCCACAAGACTGATTACACAGTTTGAATCCCAACTCCGGCAGCTTAAAAAATTAACAGACTATATAATTTGTTACTAAACTAAAAAAATATAGAGTATAACATTCTTGAAAAAGACTTGTCACTTGCACTTATGCATTGATATACATGTAAATGTTATACTTGAGGTTATATGCTTTTTAGTAATGAGAACTAATCTCTGATGACAATCATCCTGCATGTTTTCCCTCACCAAAGGGGAACACATTTTAAATTTGAGAAAGCACAAACTAGTTACCCTAAATTGCAAACATATTACACTAATTTCTAAATATGTCAGTTTCAAAGTACACAAAGAAATCATCTCATAATTGACAAATGAAAGGCATTACTTTACTTCTGAAAATCAATCAAGAGGGAAAACTGCTTTTATAAATATTTATGTCTTGAAAGATACAAAATAAATGGATAACATCATCTTTTAATTACATGTATTTTGAAAAGGTCAGAATTTTATTAGAATGATATTCTGAAGGCTCTTTTTTGTTCTTTTTTTTTTTTTTGTAGGATTTTTTGTCACAGGGCTCTTGCACTCGCCAGAAAGAGACAGAGATAGACACGGAGAGGGATAGTGAGAAATCATTCCCCAGAGGGATGGCCATACCACAATCCCTTCTCCAGTCTCCTCTCAGGATTTTGGGCATGCACACACATGTCTGGTGTGATTTTTCAAGCCACCGGACTAGGACTTAAACCCTCAAACTGTGGTCAGCCATGCAGGAATCTAGTGCCTTAATCACCATACCACCCAGTGGCCCTGGCTTTGTCTTTTAAATTTATGGCACAGTAAAAATGAAAGAGAACCTTAATTAGCCCAATCCCCACATTATACAAATGAGACTGAGAAAAAGAAAGTGATTTGTTCAAGGTACCATACTTACTAAGAGGTTGAAGATGGAAGGAACTTCCTTAGGATTTTAATAAATTGCAAACATATTACACTAATTTCTAAATATGTCAGTTTCAAAGTACACAAAGAAATCATCTCATAATTGACAAATGAAAGGCATTACTTTACTTCTGAAAATCAATCAAGAGGGAAAACTGCTTTTATAAATATTTATGTCTTGAAAGATACAAAATAAATGGATAACATCATCTTTTAATTACATGTATTTTGAAAAGGTCAGAATTTTATTAGAATGATATTCTGAAGGCTCTTTTTTGTTCTTTTTTTTTTTTTTGTAGGATTTTTTGTCACAGGGCTCTTGCACTCGCCAGAAAGAGACAGAGATAGACACGGAGAGGGATAGTGAGAAATCATTCCCCAGAGGGATGGCCATACCACAATCCCTTCTCCAGTCTCCTCTCAGGATTTTGGGCATGCACACACATGTCTGGTGTGATTTTTCAAGCCACCGGACTAGGACTTAAACCCTCAAACTGTGGTCAGCCATGCAGGAATCTAGTGCCTTAATCACCATACCACCCAGTGGCCCTGGCTTTGTCTTTTAAATTTATGGCACAGTAAAAATGAAAGAGAACCTTAATTAGCCCAATCCCCACATTATACAAATGAGACTGAGAAAAAGAAAGTGATTTGTTCAAGGTACCATACTTACTAAGAGGTTGAAGATGGAAGGAACTTCCTTAGGATTTTAACTCTAAATCTAGAATCTTGGCTTCTCAAATTTATTATCCAATAATATTGTTAACTATTCATGGTACTTTGGTATCCTGTTCTCCTATGTATTCTTGGGGCTTTTTCAATCCAACACTTTCGAAAGAGAGCAGCAGATTCATCTGTCCTATTATCTGCACTCAGATTCACTACTAGAATAAATGTTTTCAAAGTCCCCCTTTTTCCCCATTGCCAATTTTGACAGGAATCCTAATGTAGAAAGGGTTATAAAGTCTAAGTATTCTGATTAAAACAGTATCAGGGGTCTTGCTTCCACTCACCACTTTGTCGCATAAGCCCCTGAAATACTTTTATGGTATCCTGGGTCTCAGAAAAATAATTATTTCTAATGTATGAAAGTATTCTAAGACACTACTACTCAAAGTATGCTTCTCAAACAATCAGCTCCACCATGGAGCTTGTTAGAAATACACAATATTCAAATTCCAACCTAGGCTTACTGAAACTAAATCATAACAAGCATTATTTAGCAAGATGCCCAGGTGATTTTATAACTTTTGAGAAGTTTCTCAAATGATAACAAGAAAACATACACATACCACCTCCCATACACAGCAAGACCAAATTTTTATTAGAGTCACATGATACATAATTATCAAAATTATTTTATTATTTTGTCATGAATCAATGACAATTTATTTATGGATCACTTTGGGTAGCAATGCTGTACAGCTAACAAAACTTTAAAACATGCTTCTAATCAAATCAGTGTACCTAACATAATAAAAAGATGTTAGAAACTTACTTCTTATCAAAAAATGTTGAATTCTCTTTCCTCTTGGTGAATCCATTCGGCAGAAGTTTTAAGTTAATACCTTGCCTTCGGGCACGGTTTTTCATAAAGTACATCTAACAACCAAAAACAAACAAATTAAAGTGCCTTGAGTTTCAGAAGTGAATGTGAAAAAAAAGTGAACAAAACTATGTTTAAGAATATAACAGTTAACGGGAAGGCACTGGATCTGGTGATTAAAGTAGGAAGATCCTGTATGGCCAACTGCGTGCTTTGAATCCCAGACCCAGTGACTTAAAAAATACACAAGGTGGGACTAGCAGTTGGCGTAATGACTATGTCACTGGACTCCCATGTAGTTGACCATGGTTCGAGTCCTGAACTCAGTGGCTGGCTTAAACTCACGCTAGGCATGTGTATGTGCATGCCTAAGATCCTGAGGAGAATGGAGAAGGGATTGCATGGCCATACCCCCTGAGGGGGGTGATTTCTCACTATCTCTCTCTGTCTTTCTGGCGAGTGTAAGTACGCTATAGCAAAAACTTTTAAAAATATTTTTTAAAAAATAGACAAGGTGCATGTGTGCCTAAAATCCTAAAAGGAGGAATAAATAGAAGAGAGGGAATTGTGACATGACCATGCCCCCTGGAGTGCTTTCTCCTTCATTCTCTCTTTTGTAAGTGCACTCACTCCTGGCAAATTAAAAATAAAATGTAATACAGTAGTTTAGACTTACTGAGTATACACAATTAACCAGGTGAGTGCCAAGAAATCAGAGGCCATTCAATCAGTATCTGCACTTCTCTTTATTCCCAATGAGGGATACCCTGAAATCCTTAAGTAAGAATAGAAAGTGACTCTTGATATTTAACACCACCACCTTCCTGCACTCACTAGAAGTAATGTTTGACCTTTCAATTGATGGCCTAATCACTACCAGATCCAGAAAACTGTCCAGATAATGTCTGCACAGAGTATATTGCCCTTCTAGGTAACACACATTTAAACCTGGGAGCTGTCTCTGTGGGTACCAGAGCCTACTTATATAATGTCACTGGGTTAAATCCAATAGGGTTTCTTGCCTTCAGGCATGGTTGGTTATATACCCTTAAAGCAAGCAACACAGGCACCAAGACTATGTAAGTTTCCATTGGACCATGTTTAGACACTATGCAGACTTATGGGCAAAGAGTTAAACTGATGTGGCTCTTCTTTTTGATTCTATGAAGAATTGTTAAGAACTTGTTAATTCTGCCTCTTAACTGGTTCACATCTAGCTATCTGACCTGCTTATTTGTGCTTCCAAATATCTTTCACAGAGAGTTCTCAGAATACGTTCCTTAATCAGAGGTCAAAATGGTCAATAACCAAAATTAGTACCTATCTTGAAACAGATGAGGATAAATTTATTTCAACTGAATAAAGGTTCCAGAGGGGTTCCTGGATGCTCACTCTTGGTGGCAGTGGGATGTCAGTTTCATGGAATTAAGAAATTAGGGAAAATTTTGGATTTTGTATCTAACTGTACCCCTAAGGGATTTAGGTAAGCAGAGGCACCACACTCCAAATATTAGATGGAAGCGTACATGTCCAACAAAAACAATTATTGAAACATAATGCTGCTATTTATCTTTTTTGCTCAAGTTAGGGAATTAAGCATGATTAAGGTGATTAAGAAAACTGAATGGTACACTTACCTCACCTCTGATTTTTGTTTGTTTGTTTGTTTTTGCCATAGGGTGCCTGTTTGTGCTCACTGAAGAAAGACAGAGAGATTCAGAGAGGGAAAGTGGAAAATTACCTCCAAGGGATGATGGCAACACAACAGTCCCTTCTCCTCCATTCTCCTTTTGGGATTTTGGGCATGCACATGCACATGCCCAGTGTGATTTTCAAGCTGCTGGGTTTAAGACTTCAACTGTGGTTGGCCATGTGGGAATTCAGCACCATAACCATGCCATCTGCTGGCCCCTCCCCTGATTTTAATATTATACAGAGCACAATTAAATAGGTAGCTGATACTGCTGTCATTCTAAGCATGGGTACCAAACATACTAAGGATAATGATGACAAGCTTGGCTATTCAAAGATTTCCTAAACTTTGCATTTCTGTTAGTGGGTCTCCAAATCACTATGCCTTATGTCACCAAATTAATCATAAAATTAAATCATGATATCAGGTCACTCTGCAGATACCATGGTCCTTAATCACAATTATATACACTCCAAGCAAGGACTAAGAGCAATGGAACTCAGACCTGGTGACCTTATTCTTACCTTAACTTTGGATTGCTTGATTTTGACTGATTTGGTTCATGTAGACTCGCTGAAAAATGTGTTTCAGTTTCTTGTTGCTATGTACTGAGGTTTTAACTACTTGTACACACTCACCCTTTGTATATAAAGTGATCTTATAATTGGAATAACAGCAAAAATAAAAATAAAAAAGATTTACTGAGTACTTAACATTTTGCTAATAGCTCTAAATAGTAATCTAATTTAATCTTCACAGTGATGTTGAGATAGGTATTACTATCACTCCCATTTTAGTAATAAGAACTACTTAGATTCCAGTATCTTATAGCTTTCTCTGAAGAGCAAGCCTGTTTTCAAACCCAGGTTTATCTAATTCCAGAGACTATGCATGTAACCACATGTTTCATAATCCAAAAGAATAATTTCATGGTGATTGAAACAACAAGTGGCGGGGTCGGCAGGTCGTGTGATGGTTAAGGGTGCTGGACACCCCCATGGTCAATCGCAGTTCAAGTCCTGGACCTGGTGGCTTGCTTTCTCATTTTCCCTCTCAGTTTTTCTCTCTCACTCTCGCTCTCTCTCACTCTGTCCCTCTCTGGTCAAATTAAAATAAATAAATAAATAAATAAATGTTAAATAAAATAATTCTTAAAAAAAAAAGTATAATTTGGTAATCACAGGAGCTACCTATACAATTCTTCCTTTCTTACTTTAGAGAGATTTTTGCTATATGGTGCATGTGCTTGCCAGAGAGACAGAGAAAGAAAGGGAGAAATCACCTCCTAGGGGATGGAGATGCCACAATTCCTCTTGGGATTTTGAGCATGCATGCACACATGGCTGGCATGAGTTTTAAGCTATTGGGTCCAGGACTTGAACTGTGGTTGACTACCTGGGAATCCAGTGATGTCACCACTACACCATCTGCTGGTCCTGAATTTTTTTTTTTTTTTTTAACTAATGCCTTTATACCATATGTTAGCTGTCTGTATTCCTGAGTTAGTTTCCTCAAGGGAGGAAACATGATACTGCCATGCACAAAGTGACCTCAAAGTAGCCACTACTGTGGGCAGCTGAAAATATTCTGGTTCTGACATATGCTATTCCATTAACAATCTGGGTTGAATGAGCTGAACTAGCCAACTCCAGAGAGTTGTGAGGAAAGTAATAACATCAGGTTTCTATAAAGTCAAGGAAAAAGAAACATCACTCAAACGGCAAAGTATAAATTTTTTTGTTTTGTTTTGTTTAAATGAATGGGGATCTAGAACAGTAAAACAAAGTTATAGTAATACAGTCAAGTTATAAGCCAAGGGAAAGGAAGGATCAGAGATCACTGGTAAGTAAGAAAATGTTTTAAGAAATTACATGTAATTTTACAACATAAGGTAATTTGGTTTTGGTATTAGCAGTTATTATTTTCACCTACCAGAGGATACACGCACTCTGCATAGACAGAAGGAGAGAGAGAAACAACTACCGAATGGGGTGTGGTCATGACACAATCCCTTCTCCATTCTCTATCCTGTCGGGATTTTGGGCACATACACATGTGTACCTGATATGTTTTTCAAGCTGCCAAAGCTGGGATTCAAATCACAGTGGTCCTGTGGGATCCAGTTACCTTAACTACTGTATCCCGAGCACGTTTAATAAGGGATAACCAATCTATACTATAAAGTTTCAGGAAATAATTACAGTGCAATGCCACATAACACAGTGATTAAGTGCTGTGTATAGAAAAGTAGATTCCACACAGCTAACCACAACTCGAATTCCATTCCTGGCAGCTAAGCATGCGTGTATACATGCCCAAAACCCTGACAGAATGCAGAAATAGGGAAAAAAGTATTGTTTAAGTGTCCATGTCTCTCTTTCTGCCAGGCACACAGGCTCCTGGCAATTAAAAAACAAAAAAAATCCATCTTGTATATCTGACTATAAAGAAATCTTGAAAATTAATTACTTGTTATATATTAACATATAAAAAAACTATGGGAGAATACCTTAATAACTTAAAAGTAGGAAAGAATTTCCTTGTAAACACATGAAACTACTAACAATAAAGGTAACAAATGATAAATCTGTTACACTAAAATTAAGAACATCTGTTCACCAAAAGAGACTATAGAGTGAATAGACAAGTCACAGCATTTATAACGCACAACCAACCATTGACTAGCATCCAAGAAATAACCAGGAATTCTTACAAACCAATCAAATTAAGAAAGTTGACTAATGAGAAGAATAAAAGACTTGAACAGGCACTCCACAAAAGAGAATAACCAAATGACCAATAAAATACTTGAAAGTTGTTCGATTTCATCTGGCATGAGATAATCAAAAATTTAAGACCACAATAAAATTACAGTCAATGAGAATGACAATTTTAAGTCTGATCAAATCAAGTATTGGAA